CTTTTGCTCAACAGCAGCCACTGTGGCTACAAGTAGCAACTGACCCTTTATAAGTCCCGCCCCTTTTTTGCTCTGTGAAGGGTCAATACGTGATACTGGCAGATTAGATTTCCTGGTGTTTACTTCTTGTTTTAATTCTGTGATACACTGAAATGTGCATCTGTCATTTGTAAAGTCTATTTTTTTAGTTTGCTAAAGTAGCGATTAGTCATATCAGACCAAAAAAGACTGCATCAGCAAAACATTTGAGTATAATTTGAGTTCAACAAGAATCTTTTTTCTTTATTATTAAATTAACATTTGATATATAAAACATTAGCTACCATAAGTTAGACTGTGGCAGCATTATATTTACATTTCCATTATTTCTTCTTTCTAAAGTTACATCACTTTAAACCACAGATGCCAGTGAACAACTTCAGCTTACTATTAAGCCACTCTTTAAACACTGTGACACCACATGCAGCTATTTATGTTTTTCTGCAATGTGACGTTATTGTATTTTGTGTTGAAATATCAGTAACTTTACTGGATGTGCACCAAAAAGATTTAAAACACAATCATCATGGTGGCAAAAGGTTAAATTAACCAGAATTATAGTTTACGTATCTTATGTGGAAAATAAACAGCCTTTTAACACAGAAGCTCCATAGTGCCTTGAACAATTTACATACATAGCTTCAGAAAATACAACATCGTACATAATACAGGAGTGTATAGCAGAAGCTTAAGAGATCAATTATTTATTGAATTAACATCTCTACATGTGTGACTTTAAATTTAACTGTTCAAAAATCACCTCTGCATGGTTTACAGCATACCAAGTGCCACTTAACAGTTTTAAATTCTCAATTTTGATAAACAATTATACTAATTATTTATTGTTAGAGCCGTTTTAAGATGATTCCCAAGTCAAAGGTTGTACACAAGCAGCTGGTATGCTTTTTAGTGGAAAAATAACAAAAGAACATGAACAATTTCTAACCATCTTTTTCTTCCACCCCTTCCATCACCCTTAACAGTGCTCTTTATCTCCCAGGCACGAGAGTCCTTAGGTGCATTGTCCTTCATAAGGTTAATGGGAGTAACAATGCTGCCGAGATGTACAGGATACTTAATAGACACCAACTATGACATTCAGAGTCTCTCTTTGACCGCAGAGTTTGGAAATGGAGTGCAGTTGTGGCAGGTCGCTTATAAACAGTTTATCAGAGAGTTTAGGTCAGAATGAGTCAAGGCAGAGCCAAAATCCCTCCCACAAATTCTCTTTTTGGTCCTCAGACTCCTTTGACCAAGACCACAGTCTGCCCGGTCTCAGCCTTCTGGGAACAGTTGTCCGTGTTTTTGGCGTTGTCGGCGCGCGGGCGGCGCAGGTTCAGAAAGCTGAAGCGTGCCTCCAGGCTGAAGCTCCTCTTGGTGCTGGAAGTGGAGCTGCTGCTGCTGCTGCTGCTGCTGCTGCTGTTGTTGTTCGTGGTGGTGGCCGGAGCGTTGTCCAGATCCCCCTCTGCACCTTCTGCCCGGTCACCTGTGGCACCGGAGAAGGTCAGTGAATGGTTAATGAGACGTGAGTATGATGGGCACTAATTATTAAACAGATTAAACAGGTATCAGTGCTAACTGGATGTGCCTGTTTCTAGCCGATATCGCAAGATTTCGCTGTTGTTGCAACCTGCTGCGCTCATCTGTTTAACATCAAAATGTTTGGATGGAGGAGAGTTTATGGAATGTTTTAAGAAGTGAGAATCCACAAAAAAGTAAAACCACATCTGCAAGGGTAAGACCTCATTCCAACAAGTATACAGAAAAATCTCATTGTGTGTGTGAACAAACAGGTGGACACACACACACACACACACAGAGCACTCAGTTATTCATTAAGGCCGACAGAAGTGTGGAGAACTATTGCAGATGTTTTTCGGCTCTGCAGGTGAAGCGCTCGGCTCGCTGTCACTTTGACTAATAGGCTCCTGTGGCGGAGCAGGTGTGAGTCGAGCAGGTAGCGCCAGATCGTACGTCTTTCCCAGAATAGATTCTCAAACATCATCCATCTCACTTCCCAGTTTCTTTTCTTGTTTGTGTTCCTCCTGTGTAACAGCACGTGCTGCACACAAATGCACCCGTTTGCGGGTGAGCAGCGATCACATGCAGCCGAACAGTCGACAACGTTTCATACAAGCAGATTAATACACCTATTAATAAAACATATCTCTATACCACTGCTACTTTAATGTTTATTAACCTCTTATTACCTTCTACTGATAAAAAACATTGAGGAACAGCTTACAATGAAACTTCCTCGGGACATCCGTTGTTATTTATATTTATGAAAATGTAGATATTTGAAACCTTTTAAAAGGGGAGAAAAGTGTCGTATATTCTGCTGTAACACAGAAAAATCACCCACCTCTCTCCAGGTCGCATTCTGGTGACGACGCTCCGCTGCACTCGCTGCGAGGCCCGAGCACCGGAGAGATGAGGCCGAAGTCAGACAGCGACACGGTGCTGGGAAGGTCCAGGCTGCAGGGCCTGGACAGAGGAGACGGAGAGGAGGAGGAGGAGGAGGGTGTGGGCGACGGAGAGGCGGAGGAGGACGTGCAGGGGGAGGACGAGGAGGAGCTGGCGAAGGGGCAAGGTGACAGGAGCTCCTGAGGGCTGCTGGGAGATGAGCCCAGGCTGCAGGTGGAGCGAGTCTCCGAGTCTTCCTCCGACATGATGCTGCTGCCGCCACAAGCCTCGTCATCAAAACACACAGACGCCACTGCGGGCAGGAAGAGAGAGAGAGAGCAAGAGTTTAGAGCTATATGTGATGGGAGAAAGAAATAAAAATGGTGTAGAGGGAGGAGAGCAAAGAGCAAGAAGGTTCCAAAAAGTATTGAAAGAAGAAATAAAAGGAAAGATGGAGGGAAGGAAGGAGGAAATTGAGCGTGAAAGGAGACAAGAAGGAGTAGTGATGAGTGAAGGATGGATGAAGGGTGAAGAAAGGAGAATGGGATGGAGGAAAAGAGTAAAGAGGTGGGGAGAAATGAGACGAGGGAGGGAAAGAGAAGGATGTAGGATTGAAGAAAAGAAAGGGGGAGATAAAAGAGAAAGGAGGGAAGGTACAGAATGAAAAGAAGGAGAAAGGGAGTGAAGGGAGGGAAATGGGTAAGAGGACAAAGAGAGGACAGAAAGATGGAGGAGTGATGGACAAAGAAAAAAGAGGGAAAGAAAGTGTGAGTAAGAGCAAATGAGATATAAAAAGAACTCTAAAGTGTCACATCACTCCCAGCGGAGGTGTTTCATTTCCCCCGACAGAAATCAAAGCACACGAACGCACCATCGGCTGTCGTTATATTCAGCCACAGAGTCCACGGCGCCTGCTCTGGGATTGGACGCCTCCGCTGCTCTGCGGTTACCATGGTAACACTTTTCTATTTATTCCAAAGTGAAGACAAACATGATGCAGACGGCATCTCTCAAGTAAACTGCAGCCCAGTTCTACACGCGTGAACTGTTGAAGTGTTTGTTCACCGACTGCCTGCCGTCCTTTAAAACCTCAGTTCTCTGAGCACTCTGACGTAAGCAGCGCTCCTGAAGGGTCTCTCTCTCTCTCTCAAGGGCTTCCAGGTGGAAGAGCGGCTACAAAAGAGCCAGACAGCTCTTTCAAAAATCAATTACTCTTTAAAAGATACGTTTGCTGTATCTCGTTCTGTCTGTGCTATTCTAAAAGTTACTTCACTGACCCCCATTTATCACTAAAGGAAGCTAAATGACAGAAGAGCGATTAAATCTCGCTGCAGCTAACCCTGACATTTACAGTCACAGGGTGAGCACAGCTGTTACTGTGGAGGCTGACAGCAGAGCGGCATGATGGGAAGGTTTAACATTTACTAATTGGCCTTTTATCTCATCAGGACAATCGTGCGATACGTTTCAAGGTTTGCGCTGAATAGAGTTTATGTAACAAGAGGATCTGAGCTGAATAACTGTGGTTCTCTTTCACACACGTCCTTCTGTACTCACTGGATATTCCGTCCGACTCCATCTTAAAGTTTGAGATGTCGTCCCCGGAAACACTATCGCCCTCGGCGCCCACGCCGCGCCCCCGGGGGCCCATGGCGGAGTTTCGCCGTCGCTCGTGGATCTCGTCGGAGATCATCTCCAGGTTCCTGAGGGCCGTCTTATACTCGCCTTTGGCCTGAGACAGCTTGGCCTGCCGCTCGTCCACGTTCTTCTTCAGGTTCTGGAGGGGGGAGACGATCAGATGAGTCCACTACCAGCACCCAGACAATGCTTTCCAACAATGCTAACAGCTCTCAGTTGTGTTTTAAGTCACAGAAAAACAACTCCAGTCTAATCACAGCCTAAAGCACACACACTTAACCACAGCATCGTCGCTGCAGCGCCGACATGGCGAGGCAACACATTCTGAATGTTTAGAGTTCGTGCTCAAGGTATTTAACCCTTGATCGAGCTCCAGCAGGGCTACATCAACAGTTGAACTGAAAATTATCCTCCAGAGGGATTCAGCGGGGTCGAGAGGGGAGTAAATTACAGCTGAGCAGCCGTCACGTACCTCCAGCTGCAGATAGTACTTCGCCTTCATCTCAAAGTAGGGCCTTCGAAGGAGGAGGAGGAGGACA